GAGAAGAGAAAGAAGAGGAGGAGGGAGAGTGGGGGGGGAGGAGGAGGATGTCTTGTCAAAAGTCTTTTTAGTATACAAAACTAATTCTGTTCATCTTGGATTTGGTGAGCTGGATAATATTCTATACACAGCTCCTAAATGAATTATTAAATGTCAATTCAAGATAGCTTAACTAAAATACCCAATTTAATAACCAAAAGTATCTAAGTTAACAATAACAATTTTACAGGTGAAGGTCCAGTTGTCAAGTAAAACCATTATAGACAAGCTTTGGGAGTTTTCACATCATCTCCCTCCACATCTCATCTTCTGTCAGTAACTACCCACTCTGGAGAAGTTGCTCCACTTCAATAAAGATCATCTCTTCCATGCTGGCTTCGCTATTCAGATCAAGCTGGCAAAGTGCGCCCCCCCTTCTTTTCCTTCCTAAAATATAAAGCTAAACAAGATCTCAGTCACAACCGCCAAATCTTTATTAATGCATTCCTTGTGCTACTTCTGAATATTAATAAAAATTAATAATTAATTTTGCCTTTGGCATTGCAAGATATACTAGTTTTAATTAGTGTACTGTACTCCTATACAATTAAAAAATAATTGATGTCCACGCTTATTGGCGGTGTCTGTGATCTTCTTCTCTGTTGTTGTCAACAAATGCCTTAAAAAACAAGTTCAAGAATGTTGTGCTGTCTACTTGATTTATGCACCCAAAGCAACAGGCAAATCTTTTATGATGAAACAGAACAGTTTTCTGTTTAAATTATACACAAGTATATTAACTAGAAAGAGAAAATTAAAAGCTGATGGCTATGAGGAATAATGGAAAGTCTATAAAAATGTTTTATCTATCAACAAATTTGCCTGGAAAATATCAATGGTTGGCACCATCGCTCAGCTGAACCATGCAGAGGCCATCTTGGATTTGTTATGTCAATTCCATCAAGCATTTAATTCTGATGTCCTCCTTAATCAGCTTTAGTTATTTAAATTCAGCATATCATGTTACCGTTCTACTACATCATTTTAATTGTGCCATGAACTACTTTATTATAGAACGCTGAAGTATCTCCCTGTGTCTCCCTTGTCCTCTTTCTTTCTTAACAATGCAGGCTGGAGAGCTCAGGAGAGAATGCCCGTGGTTAAAGCAGGGAGGGAAAAGCTTCCTTTGAAAATATTTGTATTAAGAAGCATGAATAGAGAAAGGATGGTGATTGTTTTAGGAGGGAATCATTCAAATCTCATGGTGCTTGTGCTTCTTAGTTTGATTTCTTAAAACCAGGAGTCTTATTGATAACAAATTTCTATCAAATGACCACACATAAATGTGTAATACCAAGATGTGAAATGCTGAGAGGAAAGAGACTAAAACAAAGAGCAAAGCAACAGAGGGTCCATAAGAGATCTGGATTTTGTACTTCAACCGACTTACTGATTGGTGAATATTTTTTAAACACAAAATCACAGATGGATGCAAACGATTCTTTTGTCATATAAATGATCTTCACAGATAGTTTAATTTTGAAATTCACAATGCTAAAGCATCTTTTTAAAAATGTAATCTCTGGTTTATTTTCCATAAGAGCATTTCCTTCATGAATTTCCATAGTCTGCCATTGTCTTGATCACATGTGTATCTACTTGTTCGTAATCCATCTCTCCTACCAGGATCCGGCTGCCACAAAACCAGGTACTTCACAGTTTCACCCACAGCCACATTCATAACACCCAGCACAATGTCTAATGTAAAACTGACATTCAACCAACATCTGTGAGAGAATTTTTGAAATTCTCTCTCAAAGTATGTTTCTGTCCTAGAGCTTTTCAAATTTTCTCTCCCATATTGATTAAAATGTGAATGGACACACAAACTATGGCATAGCCATGAGACACTCTATTATTCAGGAGTAAAGAATAAACTGCTAATATGCACAATACCATGAATGAATCGCAACATAAGAGGTTGTGCAATATAAACTAATCACAAATGTCTATGACTGACATCTGGGGTTCCAGAGCAGAGAAGAGCAATGGCGAGCAAAATCAGAATTCTGTTCTGATTTCTATGACCCTTGGAGAGGGTTCTAGAGATTGCAACAATTCTATGGAGGCAAGAAAATCTCCCATCCCTGGGCTGGGCAATCATTACATATATATATATATATATATATATATATATATATATATATGCTTCAGAACTCATCAAACTGTACGCTTAGAAGCTACACATTGACGGCATGGAAATTATGCCTTAACTTTTAAAAAAATCTTAGTAATACACATTTTCTTTTTCTAGTCCATTGGCAAGAAATTGAAGGAAATTCAGAAAATGTATACAGTTGAGAGGCTCTGGAATTCCTCCTCTCACGTCACCACCTCCCCTGCCAGGTCCCTGTCCAATGCTACCAGGCAGAGGAATCGGCAGATGTTACAACCTACCCGGGTGCGTTTTCCTCCCTGGCTTCAGCCTGACTCAGGGGCCATGCTGTGTGTCTCCCTGGCCTTTGGGGCAGGTAATGAAAGCAGGGGTTTCTTCACCATAAGCCTGCCATTTGGGATGCAGAGATTGCCTCCGCCAGAAGCCGTGAATAACACTCTTAACAGTCCTTGCAAATGCTGTGGTCTGTGTCTGCATGCCCAGCTGGTCTGCTGATCAATTTTTACTTCTTAAATTGGGTCAGTGAAAAAGGATGGAGATTTCCGTTCCTGCAATGTACATTCTCAGTACAATCTCAATCCTTTGAACACTGGGAAGCCTGGAAATTCCAAGACCAGCCTCTGGCTTCCCTGGGACCACCTTTCAAAAAGACCTGTTGACCTATTTCCTTTTTACACTTCCTTTTAATTAAAAGACACAAATTTCCTGGGTGTTAATTGAAGATTAGTTTGAGAATTAAAATGCTGTACTTCCCTCAGAGACCAACCGAGTCTAAGGGTGAAAAACATTTCTCTTCTAATCAGCATTTGACCACCTCCGAAGAGCTCTCTGATCAAGGAGTCACTGCAGATCCTTTGAACCTGCAAGACAAATAAGAGTGAGCAAGAGAGTGTCCTGAGCCTGTGTCCTGATAGGGGGTAGGGACAGTTTGGGAAATTTCCTATTGGTTTATTGTTCAGATTTTTCCCTCTTATTCTATTTAAGAGTTGCTGCTTTTGTCTTCGTGACTTTGTGTTCCTATTTTCCTTTATTCATAGGAGATTGGTACATATGTGACCACTGGGGCCTGAGTCCTGGTTTGGTTTTGCTTTCTACTCTCTTGAGCTTCTGGGGTGCCTCAGAGACAGTGGGTGTCCACGCTGGACGCCCACAAATGGCCCAAGCTCTCCAAAGTGAACTCTACTCTCTACCTGAAAATCCTGACTTTCCTGGAGCCATCCCTTCAACAAGTGTTTGTTGGCATTCTTCCTGTTCACCTAGGACAGCCCAGGTCATGTTGAAAAGATGCTGAAAGGCAAAATACATAACCTCCTGGCCAGTGTGGGCATCTAAGCATGACTTACTTCTCTACATACAGCATAAAGGGAGAACCAAAGGCAGCAGGACATCGTGTCAGGCTGGAGGAAGATATGAAGGGCTGGGAAGATAAAAGAGCATCTTAGAGGCACAGAACTAAGGCTGCATCTCCATGCCTGAAGAGGGAGGATGTTCTGGGCTTCACAAGCAGAGGGAGGCATTCTGGGGCAAGGATCAGAGCTGTTTTATCAAAAGTAGTTTTATTTAGCTTCCTTCCATTCACACATCCCCACCATAGATTCACGAACTGAGTTCCCAAAGCTTGTTGTGGTCAGGACAGGTAAGAGTGGCGAATTCAGTGCCATGGGTGGCACTGTCACTGCGTGGACCAGAAAAATGTATCTGGAGGTTCTGATTTGAATGCAGGGTCTGCTCAATGCACTCCCTCTCTGTGCCTGATCTGTCAGTGGGGCCCATTAAACTCAGAAAATCATCATTAAGGTTAATGATGCACCTTGCGCCCCATGCCTGACCATGGCGAGGGCTCAACCTACAGCAGCTATTATTACTTTTCTAGGTTAGAATCAAAATAAGAATATATTTACTGGAAATAAGGGACCAGAGAAAGTTAATTTTTAAAACATAAGAAACAGTTAACGATTATAGAATGATGCAATCTGGTCCCCAGGGTCCTCGCCTAGCTCCAGCAGGCCTTGGTTCCCAGGTGAGGCCTTATCTCAAGCCCTGACTCTCATTTGTCATCTCTCAGCATTCTTGACATATTCTGAGATCATTTTAGCAAAAATCACCTTTAAAGACATTTCTGCTTCAAAGTAGACAAGGAGACAGATGCCCCGGGTACAAGGGCCAGCCCAAACGTAGCACTGCCTGGGGTGTGGTCAGCACAGGAAGGATGTGGTGGTATTTTGTGCTATGTTCCCAGAGCATTTACACCATGCTGAGATTTTTGAATTCTGTCTCAGTGACTTCCCTTGTCCCCAGAACAAAATGCTTGACATGCATGACTTAAAGTAGAACTGGTTAGCATTGGCTCCTGCCTGGCTCCAAGGAAAGGAGGGTACGGTGGAAGGATCTGGGAGCTGGAAAGCTCCTCACATCATGGT